AGAGAAGAGAAAGAGAGGTGGCTGCTGGGCTTGTGGGTCGACGTACTATGCGTCGGACGAGAGTCGTTGGAATCGTAGTCGGGGGTTTTAGCCCTGGCAGCTTTTCCGCAGGGGGTACTGCGCGCCGCGGCACGAGAGACGTTACTTGGATTCTCTGGCGGTGGCAGTGGTGGTGGTGTGCCAATGCTGCCGTTACTAGAGGTGGCGGCGCGATGGTAGTGGTGGTAAAATTGTAGCACGGTGGTGGGAAGGATCACGCGGTGGTAGTGGTGACGGATAGTGGAGAGCGTAGGTTGGAGTGGAATGGTTAGCGGAAAGTGCGACGCCCGGCGTCTCGCCGCATCGATCGACTCCCACAAACCCCGTACGGTTGGCCGCTGCCGTGCTCTACCTGCTGTTGGCTTATACACACGAACACCACCGTACCGATGTGCGTACACACGAATACAGACGCGAACGAAATTCGTCTGGCTCGCGCGGGGTGTGTCTGATGCACCTTGTTCCATAGAGAAATTCCTAGTAAAAATTCGATAGAGATGATTTTCCTGAATAGAGATGAAATTCGCTAGCTGCCTGATAAATTCGTCTGCTCTCTCGTTGCCTCTCTGATTGCCCCTCTTCTTCGTCGCATTGAACTTACACGCGCATCGAAGGACCACGTGTTCGCGTAACTCGTGGCTGCTCGTCTCCTCTGCATCAAAGGATATGCATGCTACGACGCGAAAATTTCGGTAACGCGCGATCGAGGTTCGATCGAGCACCGGTCCGGTAACCGACACTCTCGGAACTTTTAACGAGTCATCCGGTCAGACACACCCTAGACGTCCTTCTCGAACTTGGCCGCGGAGAAAGAGAAAAGGAGGCGGGTAGCAAGTTACCACGGGTCGGCCCTACAACCATTTCCACCTGGTTCGATTGGAAGCGGCATAGGGCTCGCGATCGTGTGACCTCCGGTGACCTCGCCCCACGAGAACCTCGTAGGGCGTAGGATTGGCAGGGCTACCAACGCCCTTTTCCTTCTCGTAGGGCAGCCAACACGTAGAGGAGAGGGATGAGAGTCCACGAAGCTTTCCCCTACCGAGCTGCTGTCACGCCGATCCATGCTGTCACCCTCCCCTGCAGCTGCTACCACTGTTAGTGCCGCTTCCTCTTCGACCCTCGTCTCCTCGTTGTTCTCTCGTCCTTCCAGTCACCGGTGCCTTTTCTTGCTCGATTTTCTACCACCACCAGCTATCTACCACCAGCATCCAGCGTTCCGATCCCGAAACTCTGTAAACTGAACGAACGCGTAATGAATGCGCCGCTACCTTCCCGGAACTATCGTTGCGCCACTGAGAAACAGAGAACGCGCCCGTAATAGTAGAAGA